ATCACCACGGTAACTGATGCTGCACAGCCTGATCACCACGGTAACTGATGCTGCGCAGCCGGATCACCGCGGTAACTGATGCTGCACAGCTAACATGTACGTTCGTAAAGATACTAAACCACACATACAGGACATGTGTTGCATTGCCACGAGAAAATGCTTAAATACGTTTCTCTGCTTCGTACTAATTTACTACCAAGTTTACCACAGAAAATATTAAATCTATTGATATTTACCTCAGAGATTATTCAGTCAATGGCATGAACACTCCCTTTGATTAGGCCTAGCCTTTACTGATTTCCTCGTATCCTTCATTCTCGTTATCGCTGAAGGGGTTTGGGGTTTTTTTTTGGAGCCAGCTGACATGAAGAGAGCTGGGCTAAGTGGATCCTGCTGCTAGCTCATCCTTCTGGAGGACGTTTAGCTCAAAGTTCAAACCAACTGCACAGGTTTTCATTAAGACAATCAATCAATGAAAGCAGACACACGCAATCAGATGTTACATCCTTGATCAGATGAGGAAGTGTTGGAACCTTTGGCGTTATACCCAGACAGTGTGATTCAAGACTAATCTTACCTGGTTGTTCTGGTTAGCAGGTGGTCAGTGAAGCTCCTGTTGAGGGATGCTTCTCATACATCTCTATTGTGCTGTCAGTCCGTGAGTGATTAGAATGAAACTGCATCATGCGTTTAACAGCTGAGCTCTTATCTTCTGGAGGACAGAGGGGCTGCTTAGGAGCCGTTTGTTGTTTTATGTTTTATTTATCAGCAGCATTAAGTTTTATTTGGTTCTTACCAGACACGACCAGCGACGAGACATTTATCTGTCGGTGCCCTCCACCTGGAAGGAGCATCGGCAGCAACAGCAGCAGAAGTTCTGGTCCTGGACTGGATTATTAGCTGCAGCAGACGTTGTTCTGAACAGAACCCTGCGATTCATCTGATTTCCTCCCAAAACAAGCAAATAATGAGCCGGGTCTGAGGATTGATTTCATAGATCGTGTCTCCATCTGTTTATTAATTAACAGCCGCCTGGATTACCGACTGAGCTTCTGGGAAATTTCACGTTTTGTGTTTTATATTTAACGACCTGTTCCTCTCCCTTCCGCCCACATGTCTCTTCACTCAGCTCAACATTTCACTGGCCTGGGTGCTCTCAGCTTTACCAAACCTTTCCTCTGTCAGCAGGCAGCGACTCCCAGCCTGAAAACCCCCAGGAGGGCCTGAGGGAGCACCTGAAGAAGACCCTGGAGTTCTGTCTGTCCAGGTGAGCTCAGAGCCTCATCACTCATTGGGTTTGTGCAGATGCTGATCTAGTGGACAGATGAGAATGAAGCTACAGGTTTACTGAACTAGTTAAAGTAACCCGGTTAAGGCCCTGCAGTGATGTTTATTACAGACATGTCTGACTAACTTCAACAATAGGAATAAGCTCCTAAAACATTATGTACTACACTAAATACCCTGAATAACAAAGACTAAGGCCCTCCTTTTATATTTATTATTATTTATTTAACAGACTAACCCCAACACCCGACATCAGTAATGAATATTCACATGTAGCTGCTGGTTTAAATAATAACTATTGTGATCCTACAGTATTATTTATGTCACTGATTAAGTATTAACACCAACAATATTAATAAATATTATAATTCACATTAATGATAATATTAAGTGTAAGAACCTACAGTTTTGTTTATTATACAAAAATTACCTGATTAGTTTCGGTATAAACAACTAAGTTAATGAAGCTGTTATGTTAAGTTTCAGATCCAATAATATTTATTATATAAATTGACCCGACTAGTTCAGATAATTGATGTTGATGGTACGATGCGTTGTTCATTAGACTCATTTACCACGAATCCACACATTTTCTAATTTACTGTTTTTCCAAAAAAACAAAACAGAAAAAATAGTGAAGCACATTATTATTTCTTGATTATCAGATTGTCATTATTTACCTTCATTCCTGAACAGAGACACTCGTTTCAGTGGTTGAATGCTGGATTCATTTCTGACTCCTCAGAGAAGCCCAGCAGCGGCGCTACTCTAACGCTGGAGAGAACCCTGTTAAGGCCCAGCGGCGTTGTTTCAGAAACACAGCGACCTGATTGATATAAATATGAGGATTTAGACGCTACAGAACCCAGAGATTTCCTTTGAGCACGGTTCTGTAAATAGTGTTTGTCCCTTTTTAGACAAGAACCTTCTTCCACAAACCTTGAACCGTACAAAGAAGCAGACTGAAGTCGCTGCCACGCCTGCTTCTCAGCCGCCGTGTCACACGAATTCATGGAGGAAAGCACTGAAACAAGAACAATGTCCGTGATAAGCCAGGAGTGAGCTAGACTTTGTAATCTGCATTTTGCTAGAGCTTTCCGAGTTGACTGAAGAGACACAGCAGAGAGACGACGTCCACCCTGATCAGTCAACACATCACTACTCTGATCGTTTGACCAGAGAGGCTCTCACTTCTGCCTAATGCCTCGTGTGAGAGTAAATACATATCTGTAGACCTGAGAGTTGTGTATATTGTGGAATAATCTGCAGATTGATCAGTAATAGAGTATCTGCTGCCCTAAACTAGTCATGTAAATGAGTCTATAATTAAGTCTGTCTGCCAACAATGTGAGGATTTATGATCATTACAGTCAAGCTTGTCTCAAAATCCCACAATGTGTTTTAACATTCCTGTATGTGACATGACCAGTGTGTGTGTTTCATGACGATCTGGACCAAACCATTAACCATTAATCTGTGTTCTTCTGAGGATTTACAGGCGGCGAGTTGACATAGAGACAATAACGGCTAAACTGATGAGTCAGTATCTTTCATTGTATGATAGTTTGATCAGTGAAATACCTTTTCCAAGCTGGTACACCACGTATTCTCTCGGTTCGGCCTTCTTGCCTCATGAGAGAGAAGTGAGTATGTTCAGGAGCATCTAGTGTGTTTTCTAAAACAATCTGCAGATTAGTCGGTGATAAAACCACTGCTGCTGTCAAAGGATGATGTCAATGAGTCGATAATGAGTCTGTCAGTGTGCTGTGAGGATGTTTTTGGTCCGGATCGGGCTTCTCTCTGCCCCTGTGGGCGTCAGGTGTGGTCTGAATGAAATGCTTCTGGATGCCTCTGTGGCGGCGGCGGCGGTGCTTCGGCTGCTGGTTTGGATCAAATCACGGCTTGTCTTCTTCTCTCTTTAGAGCAATTCATCGACGGTAGTTTGTTGCACTGTTGGCTCAGAAGTAAAAACAGAACAGAGTGATGGTGAATATGAAGGAGGAAAGCAGGAGTTAGTTCAGTCATCAAACTCTGGATGAAACCATGAGCACCAGCCTTCCTTTGAGAAAACCACTCAAAGCAGCCGAGAGGTTCAGGAGGTGTGACCGTGGCCTGAAGAGCAGCTTTTAACACCAGCACTAACTGGTCAGCCTTCGCTTTCCAAACAAAACATCATCAGACATTTTTAAATCTATGGACGAGCTCAGACTTCAGTTTCAACCTGCTGACGGTCAGAAATCCTGTCTGAGATCTGATCCGATGTTAAATCCTGTTTGTTAACGGGAACAGGTCTCAGCTGCTCATCAGCCCTGATACCATCTGAAAGTTCAGCACTGATTCGTTCACAGCCGCTGTCATACCGCCGTGGTTCAGGCCTCGTGTTAGGGATGCTAAGTACGACTAGCTGTCCAAATCGGTGATGTCAGCGTTTTCAATCAGATCTGGATTAATCAATGAGACAAATTGAATGCAGTGGAAATGTGTCCTGTGCTGGTCAACAGTCACATGACTGAGCTCTGATACACCGGAGCTCTGGCTGGAGGTCCTGAACCTCCTCAGAGTCTCTGTCATGGTCCCACTGCTGCTAAACTCCCACAATGCTCTCTGCTGCCACCATGAGCTGCAGTCTGTAGACGCCTCCTCTGGTCTCCACAGGATTAAACAGTAGAGACCAGAGGAGCTGAGGACCAACTTCACAGATGTTCTTCTTCTGCTTTAAACCAGTCAATGGATCAGCGTCGGTTCAGACAACATCCAGGACTAGATGTTTCCTCCAACCTCTGGAGGTGTTAAACACTCAGCCTGTCTGAGTCTGTCCCCTCTGGAACCATGATCTTTATAATATCCTGCATTGTGTGCTGACCCAGTGTTTGTCTCTGCTGCCTGGTTCTCTTCCCCCAACCAGGTGAGGCAGATGTCGGCCCGACCTGAGCCTGGTTCTGATGGAGGTTTCCCACGTTCCACTTACACCGTCACAAATATGATAAACAGCTAAACATAATAAACCCAAAACAATTCACATAACATGGAGGTCTAAATTAAAAACCCAGCTGCTCGTTCATAAGCGTCCAGAGTCCTTGGGCTGATATTTAAAGGGTTCGGGTTTTACAGTCATGTTTGTATGTGTGCATTTACATCATCAGTGAACTCTGACACATAAAGCTGTCTGATTACCTTATCAGGTGTAGGTCTGGTGTGCCCGTGGCTGTCTGTGTGAATAAACGTTACATGTGTTGAAACGTGACACCGAGCTGCAGCCTGTAAAACACCTGCTCTGCCTGTTGTCTGCTCGTCAGGGAGAATCTGGCCAGTGACATGTACCTCATCTCCCAAATGGACAGCGACCAATACGTGCCAATTGTGACGGTGGCCAACCTGGACCACGTCAAGAAGCTCAGCACTGACGTGGAGCTGATCGTGGACATTTTACGATGTGAGTGTTTTGCTTCCAGAGAACAGCAGGACTGAGTGCCGCCGAATACGCTGTATGACGAGACACACTGAGCTTCTATCAGCGTGTGGTTGAGGCTGATTTCCCACGAGAGGTTGTTAAAGTGCATCCAGCAGAGTCTCACCTGCTTGTGTTTGATTTGTACACACACTTAATTTACTGCTCAGATTAATCCTTTCTGGCTCCAAGTTGTTCCTTTATTTTATGGCTTCATGATCTGTGCACTGCCAACATTTTACATTTCTGACTGTGTGCAGCTAACAGGCCTCGTGTTTAATCTTTCTCTGAAGAGTTCAGCAGCTTGTACTTTAATAGACAAATGAGATGAGAGCTTCCTGCTGCCGAGGGCTGATGCAGGCGGTACTGGAGGGACCGGTGTTTAGATCGTCAGCCTGTGAAGAGATGTAGTTACTGGACTTCTGTGACTGACCTGTTTCTCTGTGGCCTCCTGCAGCTTTGCCATTGGTCCAGGTGGATGAGAAGGGCGAGAAGGTGCGACCCAATCAGAACCGCTGCATCGTGATCCTCAGAGAGGTTCCAGAGAGCACACCTATAGAGGTGAGTGGCAGAGCATGATTCTGATTAAAGGAACAAGCAGGATGAAGTGAAGCACCTTGGAGACGATTCTCAGCGTCTCTGAAGCTCCCCTGGATGGAGGGAACACGTCAGTCCCAAACCTGCCATCAGTGGAGTTTGGTATCGATTGTCCTTTAACAGTGAGTGATTCTTTGACTCTCTGGTGGTTTGAGTTATTCTGAAGAGCAAAGTGCTCTGGCTTGTTTGTATTTTAAACCAATCCCAGTCGTGATGGGCGGGGCGACGTGAAGGATGCATCCTCAGTGTTTCCTCACAGTTGTGACGGTGGAACATCTGCAGCAGAAAGACAAGCACTGGGATTAAAGTGGATAATCCACTATGAAGCCTGGCAGAGCTGTCTGACAGCACGGCCCAGGTCCTCAGCAACACAGTGAAGTGATGCTACACCTGCAGCGTCGGGGAGTCGGACCATTCTGTCCTCTGGGCCGCCGTCAGGGAGAACTTTGTCCTTAGCTTCATTGCTAACCACCTCCAGACTCTTCAGCAGTCAGGCAAACGACTCATAGCCTCCTCACTGGCTACTGAGAAGCTGCTACCTTCATTCTGCAGAACAAAACATCAGCACTCGTGTTACTGACGCCAAGTCGTTCTGTTCTGCTGCCGGCCAGCCCTCCCATCAGGGTGGAGATGTTTCATCACAGGATGAAGCTCTAGCAGAGCCACCAGATCTCCTCACTGTGGGAGTCAAAGGCTCAGGAGCTTCTTTGGCTTTATCACCCACCCACAGAGACGTTTGTTTCCCCCAGCATGAGTCAACAGAGACCTGGTGTAGGTTAGTGCCCAGAGTGAAGCTGAGCTGTTGCCAGTCGGCCTCCATGGCCTCTTCACGTGGAGTAAGAAGATTCACTTCAAATCTAGTTTGGTGTGTTTTTATAAGCACTTTGGGATGAAGTTTATTTAGTACCAGACTTAAATATATGCTGTACTGGTGGAATTACCATCAGCTGATAAAACCAACTCCTGTCCTCACCTGTCCAGTGCACCTGGTCAGGATTTAAACATGCTCCTCCGTTGCTGCTAACAGACAGGTCATGTACCCAGAAACCTTTTCCTGCCACTGAAGCAACCCAAAGTGTGCAGCAGTGGATGTGGAGTGTTTGCAGAATGATGATCTCAGTAACGGTTATCTGCCTCAGCATGGCGAGCGCTTTGAGACGAACCGACTAAAGACTGTTATCTCAGCAGTACGTTTTTAGCTCTGCAGAATGTGCTCATCAAACACATCCTCTCACATACTACAACATTATCACGTTATGTCAGCATTGCGTGGCCCGTTGGGTCCAGGACCAGACAGCTACAGCGATCTGTGACTTCCCAGCATCCAGTATTCTTTTCAGTTGAGGACAACAGCAGCGTTTTTCTGCAGCGTTGGTGGTCTTAATGTGGCTCAGCTCTAAAGGTTTTCTTGAGCCCTGTTGACCCTGCAGGAGTTTCTGAAGGCTGGTTGTGTTGAGGTTTGCTGCCAAGGAGGAAAACTGTTCAGTTGAAGAAATAAATCTGTAAAAATGACCAGGAATTGAGGCTGAGCTGGTTTTAGGTTTATATCGGTGATCTAATTTTGTTGTTAGATGTTTCAGTGTTTATTGGCTGTGAACTCGGCATGTTTTAACAGCAAAACAAACAGTAGTAGTTCTTTTATTTAAGCTTCCGTGTCACAGGATCCCTCAGTTATAAACGTTAGTCTAGCTTTCATGTTAACGCATCAACAGCTGGGGAAAATTAGGATTTAACAAAAGTTGAGGTACTTTTCTGATATGACCCAACACTTGATTTGCTAGCTTTAGCTCTTATTTGATTAAATATCACACAGAAGCTGTATTAGCCGTCACACATCTCCACCCTTTGCCGAGTTCTTGTCAGGAGGAGGAGGTATGAGTTCCAAACTGACGTGGTATGTATGGCAACGTACCACAGACCAGCTGCAGTACCTGGTTGTTCCACCAGGTGGAGACTCTTCCTATTTAATCCTGTAGAGACCAGAGGAGGCGTCACTCAGACACTCATTGATGCTACAAGTTGGCTGTAGAATAAAATGAGCAGAACCAGGTCCAGTGTTCAGACTGAGACTCCTGGATGGATGTAGAACTGATCTGGTGTCAGGTTCCACCAGAACCCAGATGTGTTCTTCCTCCTAAATGTCATGTGTCTATCTGCTGTACTGATGAAGTTCTGAGGCTCAGAAATGATGGAAAAAGTCCATTAAAGTGATCAATCTGGACCCTCCTCTGTGGACTTCAAGGACCTGGACCTCTGGAACATTCACAGTCTGAAGGTAGAACTCTGGTCAGTAGATGGAGGTGCTGCAGGATCAGAACCAGATGTTCTGAAGAGGTCAGGGGGAACATGGAATGACTGTCTGGTTTGAAGTTCAGCTGCTGGTCTCTTCCACGAGTCTCTCTTTAGCTGACCTTCGGTACCAGACAAAATGAGAACTACCAGAACTTTGGTGTCGACCAGTTTCCGTCACATCCCTGGTGCCTGTCCTCAGGCTGAGAGGTTCCCGAATTCATCCTCCACACTCGATGGTTTTATAATCACTTTACGTTTTATCCTTTAACCGGTTTCTCCACAAAGGAGCTGCGTCTGTAATCAGCGCTGGTGTTATAAACGACAGACGGACAGAGAGGGATTCTGACAGGAGAGAAACCGAGCATCTGACCCATAAACACAGGTGTGGGTTTACATATGAACGTTTCACACATGCATAAGGAGGTTATCTGTTCCTCCACCTGTGCGTTTACCTGTAATTGAAGATAAAAGAGCGGTTTCTGGCACATGCTTCGGTTCAGCAGCCACAGGAACTACTGCGAGCCAACTGAATTATTTACAGCAGGACTCCGACATGATAATTAACCTTTTAGCTGTGCTGTAAACATGCCTTCTGCCTGCCAGCTGAACTGCTTCGCTGCTGTCGGAGGCGGCTCAGTCCAACCCAGACCTGTTGTGTTCTGGGTTGTCATGTTTGTTTGCTTTTAGACGTCTTTTTACAGCATTTACTGGGTGTGGTGGGAACTAGGAATGTTTGAGCAGCGGTAGGAACAGCAGTAGTCCTGGGTTCTGTCTTCACAGACGGAATGAGCAAAAGGACAAAATATGGTTTCTGTGTCCCAGAATGCCTCGGTTCTAAAAGACTGCCTTTAAAGTTCGACACAGCGACAGTTGAGAAGATCGAGGTGTGTTCTTTCAGGTCCAACTAATAATTAAGATGCTTCTCCTTTGTGATCCATGGCTGGTGGTTTCTGTAAAGGAGCTTTTCCACAAGTACAGCAGTGAAACAAGCTCCTGTGTGTTTGTTTTGTGTTGCAGGAGGTGGAGGCCCTGTTCAAAGGGGACAACCTACCCAAGTTCATCAACTGTGAATTTGCCTACAACGACAACTGGTTCATCACCTTTGAATCAGAAGCAGATGCACAGCAGGTAACGGCCTTCATCATTCTCATGTTCCTGATTCTTCTCTGTCCTAGAACCAGCTGTACGTGTTGGCTTCTTCAGCGACTTTGTTTCTGTTTCAGGTGATTTTTCTGTCAGTAGTTTCTCCAGGTGTGTGTTGGGATGACACCAGAGTCTGGCCATCTAATAATTCCAGTTTTATTCATGTGTTTGTTTGTTTGTTTGCCTGGATGTAATGCTCAGCTGCCATTTGGATTTTCTAAACTAATGAGCCAGGCAGAACATGTGCCTGTCTGTTTAAATCAAGATCTTCTTCTGGGTGTCTGCTGGTTAGTTGGGTGTGGGGTGGGGCTTTTCTGAAACTCAGGGATCTTTCAGGGGAAGCTTCAGTCTCTGCATCCAAGCTGTGCATCCTGCTTCTGTTTCTGGTGAGGTTTAATCCTGCCCTGTGTTGTCCACATTCTCTCGTTAAAGGCATATCAGTATCTCCGCGAGGAAGTGAAGACCTTCCAGGGGAAGCCCATTAAGGTAGGTCGCTTTGTACTGGTTTGGGTTGAACACGCTGAAGCATTGCTGGTTTTAGGACTACGTCAGTTTGTGCTCTTCAAACCACATTCCAGCAGATTTGTCCTGGAACAACGTGTGACATGTTGAATTATTATTCTGCATAATTAATCAATCCCCTGAATGAACATCTAAAGAAGCTGCACTAATGTGTGAAAGCCATCGGTCTTCATGTACTCCTCTCTCACCTGTTCACCTTGTTGTTTCGCTGCATGCAGTCCTGTACAGTCACAGTTTGTCTCTTTACTGCCTGTACCACATTCAGGTATAAACAGCTTCTATCCTACATCAAACTCATCTGGCTGCATGTTTGCAGCTACAACTGCAGAAGTTATTCTACATTCAGCTCCAACATGAACCAGCCTCAGTCAGGCAGCAGTTTGCTGTGAAGTGATTAACAACAAACGAACGGCACACATGAATATTTAAACCAAGAAGTCGTTAAACTGAGGAAAAGATGTGGAGCGAAGCCCACATTTATCAAACCACTCAAAGTTCACATCTGGACTCGAGTGCAGAATAAAAGTCCTTCACATTCACTCCGAGCCGTCAGCGTATCCGTGGATTCATCAGACTTAAACTCTTCCTTCAGTTTGCTTTTCTTATTCCTCTCAAGCACCAATCATTCTTTAAAGTCATCCTGTCTTTAGTTTTTATGTTCTTTCAGTTAAATATAGATGCAAACTGTTGCTGACACACGTTTAGAAATAAACTCCGGCTCAGTTTGCGTCAGATTTTATTATTTAAGACCCAAAACAATAAAAGAGCTTTTTGCAGAATTTTAAGAAATTCATGTTTACAGAGCGACAGATTTTAGTTTTCACCCTCAAAAATACACCTTTAGCTGGACCTGGTGTTAGATTTAAAGTACCTGAAGCAGAAATCTGCCTCATACGTTGTTAGACTCCATCATGAAGCATCCTGTAGCTCTGCACATCCAGAACCAACATCTAGAACCTGTGGACTCCAGGTTCTGGTTCCTACCAATGATCCACATCAACATTTAGTCTAAACATCTGGAGCCTTGTCTGGTCCAACTTCACCACATCAGGTTCTGCTGATGTTGGAGCCTTGGATCCATCCATAGATAGACACTGACAGGAACTTTCTGGATCAGCACCAGCCTGGGTTGGAGATTAGGGCATTATTTAACCTTTTCAAGGACCAACAATGACACTCTGAAGAGGAGTTGTGAGTTAGAATTTCTCCAGGCCTTCCTTTTAGTTTACAAATGGATTTAGCAGGTTTTTGTCTTGTTTTCTGGTTTTTGCTGTGTGCAGCATTAATGTGTGTTTTGATCTCTGCTCTGGCTCTTTGGACCAGGCGAGGATAAAGGCGAAGGCAATCGCTATCAACACTTTCATGCCAAAGAACGGTTACCGGCCGGTGGAGGTGAACCCGTACGCCCAGCAGCGCTACACGTCCTACTACATCCCCCCGGTGTACAGCCCCCAGCAGCAGTTCCCCCTGTACAGCCTCATCACGCCGCAGGCCTGGTCGGCCACACACAGCTTCATCGACCCGGCGCTGGTGAGACTGGACCACACAAACACGTATATGTGTCTGTCAGCGTTTATCTCCACTTTGGTATTGTTGTGTCGGCACCGGGTTCAAACTTCCTGCTTCAGCTTCAGGGACTTTGTTCTGTTTGTATGTTGAAGTCAACACGCGTGTGGAAACGAGCAGGAAGAACATGCTGTAGTTTAACGGTACCTGCTGTATAAAATGCACATTTAAACACTTGAATCCACTGACTGACCTCATGAACTGCTTGTTTATAGTTGTGATTGGTGAAACTATGAATGTTCGAACACTGTGAACTTGTGTTCGTTAGTTTAATTTTCATAACAAACTTCAACAATCCACCACCATCAGAAGCTTTTATTGTGAAGTCTGGTGAGGTTTGTCCGGTTTCAGCTCCGTCCTCCTCGTTAACCCGTCCTGTTTGCTTCCTGTTACCAGGTTGCTCCGTTTCACAACAACCAGTTCATCAACGGATTCACGACGTCACACAGCTTCAAACCGGCGTCGCCGCTCACCGTCAGACACTTCTCACCCAGAAACAGGTTCGTATCTCTGGTGTCTGTTCAACAACACTCTGTCGTACTGAGTTGGTGGAGCTGTTGACGCTTCGGAGTGATGAATGAAGCAGTTGAGCTGTTTCCTGTCTAACAGTGAAGTCTGGAATCTCTTCAAAGGATCGTATGAAATAATAAACTTTATTTCTGCAGCACAAGGTGCTGCACAAAGCATTAAAATACACAAAACCGTAAAACAGTCACAGACATTTAACGCCTGCGGCCTTAGAAAGACCAGTCACCAGTAGTAGACGTGATGAAGTCTGTACAGGTTGTTCTGAGAAGCTTTTACTCTGAAGGTTGGACTCCGGCAGCAAACCTCTAAGCGGTGAGCCCGGATCGAGGTGCAGAGGAGGGTCTGAAAGTTCTCATATACACAGATTTAAACGTTAGCCGCAGAACTTTAAACTGAATTCAATCATGAATGTCAGAACCGGACTTGTGTGGAATAAGTTGTTCAGTTCTCTACATACAGAGCTTAACTAAACCTCCACCCAGTGTCAGGTTTACGCCACCGCTGCCCTCAAATGTAACGTTCATACACCAGCATGTAGGAGCTCTGTAACCCAAGTGATATTTCTGATGGAAAATATAATTATTATTGTTATCCAGGAATTTTCAGATTTAAAAATTAGTAAAGCTCAGTGTTGTGTCTTGATCCAGATGTCAGATTATTTACCTGCATTCCTGAACAGAAACATGAGTTTTAGTGGCTGAATGTGATGCTGGATCAGTTTCTCAGAGAAGCCCAGTGAGCTGCTCAGGTTTGGCGATAAAAAGGTGGATTCAGTTTAAATTCCTCATTCCTGTTCAGAACGATGAAACGAGGAGAGCTGAGTGGCGTTAAAGCCCTGGTCTATAATATATATATAGAGCAATGAAATGAAATGAAAAATACTTTATTTATCCCAGAAGGGAAATTCAATTAAAAAAATTGTTTTTTTTAATTCAATAAAAAAACTTCTGCTTCCTGTTTTTAGTCTGATTTTATTCTGAAAACTCCGACAGGAAGTGATGGTTGTGGAGAGCTGGTATCAGAGCCAGTAAATGATGCTCAGCTTCTTCACTCAGGAGAAAGTCCCAGGCCAACGTGACTCCAGATGTTTCCAGCTCTGATGGTTTCTCAACTTGAAAAAACTTTCATAAATAGAAATAAGTGCAGAAGAACGAACAGCTTTCCCTCTGGATACATTCAAACCTGTGTATGATTCATATTTACTACATTTAGAGGATGATGCCAGTATTTCTCCCCAGACATCATAATGTTTTTCTCCAGAAGAACCAGTGCAGTGTCTGTGTTCACCACATTCAGATGATAGTCATCCTCCATACATGTAGGAGAATCACTATCAGCAGGACTTGTGCAGATTTCTTGTATTTCTTTACTCTTGCTCCGTTTTTGCTCTAAACCTTTTGCTGCTGATGCTTCAGATTTCCCACCGTGGCACGAACGATGGATCATCTCTGTACTATTCCCAAACACTGACCGAAGCACTGGCGAGAATAAAATGCACTGAATTAGTAATTTGTCAACACAGGAAGTGAAGAACGGTGTCGACCAGAAACGTCTTGACGGGCAGCTTCAAGTTACCTGATGAGCGAGCACAGGAGTCCACAGCACAATATTTATTACTGTAATGATTCCTCTGATCATGTGATGATGAGCAGCAACACAGAGCTGTCGGATAATTTAAATCTAAAACCAAACTCACGTCTGTTTCCTGTGATCACGTCTCGTTGCTCGCGGCTCTTAAACACCAACCTACAGCGAGGCAGCGTTAAGCCCAACACCGGCCTTTATTTTAGTCTATTTAAAATCATTGTTTGTGTTTTTAACTATCTTCTTGGTTTTTTTTTGATGATTTTTGGCTTCTGTGCTGTGATGACACTGAGTAGTGGATATCTTCTTTATTTGTCTTATCTCACCGGCTCCATGTGTGATTTATTTACCGTCTGCTCGGTTTAATCTGTGAGTCCTTCGTTTATAACAGGAGGTTGTTTGTGTTGTTTTATCTGTAAAGCTCTTTGTGTCACATATTATTGGTATGAAAGTGCTTCATAGATACAGTCGGATTGATTAATGGATGACTCTGTGTGCTCTGTTTGTCTCGACCTGAACATGTGCAGCATCGTGGACACGTCTCAGTGTTTGTGTTCATGAGAGGATCCGTGTGCTGCCGTTACTGTTGGTGTGCTGTGTGAACAGTGGCCTTAAACTTCTCCTGTGCTGCAGGACTAACAACACACTGTCCTGTCTGTTTTCCTGCAGGAATCACAGCAAACCCCACCTGAGGCCGACCCTCCCCACGGCCGATCGCAGCGCCGGGCTCCTGGACAGCCCCAGCCTGTTTCCCAGCTTCCCCAGCGAGCGGCTGAACGGGGTTCGCAGCAGCCCGCCGACCCGCCTCCCCGGCAGCCAGCCCAGGACCAGGCTGCCCTCGGCCACGGCCTTCCCCCGCAGAGACACGGTGGGCACCGGCCGGGTGACGGAGCCCAGCACCCCCGACTACTCCCTGGGCATCGGCCGAGGAAGGTACGCACCGTCTGTCTGGATCACTCGCTGTCTGCTCTGCTGTTGTGTCATCCGTCGTCATTACTCAGAGTTTAACTGCTCTGAATTTAGCCGCTACAAGCCTGAACTATGAACTGATTTCAAACAGGTCAACCCTAAATGTAGATGCACTGATTCACCAGGGATCACTGAACCTCCACGTTAAGAGTCCACATCAGTGGCTGTTTGTGGCTGTAGAAGCTGAAGACACGTCCAGACATAGCTAGCAAAGCTGTTCCTATATGAAACTCCTCCAGGTCAGCAGCAGCCCAACAGATAGTTTAACTCTCTGTTAATATGTAGATTTTCTGGTTTAGTTGCTCAGCTCTGATCTATAGCATGTTCCCCAAAGGTCGTGTTTTGTCCAGAAACATTTGGTTTGTTGCCACAAAGGTGGAACGAGACCAAAAAGTATATGTAGATTTAAGAAGCTGCGATGGTAGAATCACGGCGTGCCACTGATCAGTGAAGTGCAGCAGAGATGTGGTGTGATCACGTGGAACCACCAGGTGGAGGTCAGGCCGTCCACAGCTTCACTGCTCCTTAAACAGCTGCTGTTCTGCTGCACTGTCTCATAAAGCTGTCTCCTTTAAAGAGTTTGTTTTCACAGAGAACTGAGACGCTGTGACTTTTGGTCAGTTGTTTATCTGCGTCAGCGTGTTGCTCATTTGCATAAACAAAGAGCTTCCTGTAAAGTCTGTTTATGAAAGGTTAAAGCATCAGAACAGACTCTAGGAGACACTAAAAACCTATGTGTGAACCTGTGAGCGTGCCGTTTCATGAGCGGCTGAGTGGCGGTTTAACGTGGAGCTGAAGCTGAGCTAACGAGGCCGGTGAGGAGCTGAGCTGATGTCATGGTTTCAGACAGAATGGATGTTTGTCAATTGAGATGTTCTCTTTCTTAAAGGAAAAATGTTTCTGCTTCTAGGAAAAAGAGGGACGAAAAGTTTACAGTAAGTACCGTTTATTCTTCTCCGTCATTCTTCTGTATCTGAGTTTCAGTGTAAAAGCTTCGGTGTGAGTCCAGCGCTAGCTTCCTGAGCGTTCCTGTCGTCTGACTCTGTTTGTCGCCTCCCTCAGAGAGTGACGCCTCCGTCGCCGCCGCCGCCTCCCAAACCTCCGTCTCCGAGCTTCGAGCTGGGCCTGTCCAGCTTCCCTCCGCTGCCCGGAGCCGCCGGCCAGCTCAAGACCGACGACGTGTTCGACAACCGGCTGGCCAGCAGTGTCGTGGTCGGAACCGCCAAGGAACGGGTCGGGAACTGCTCCTAACTTCCCCATCAGTCAGGCCTCAGTGTCAGGATGAGTTCATGCTGTCGGCCTCTAGGTTCAGGAGCTCCACTAACGCCAGGACAGAGAAATATAAAGTAGTTCATTTATAAAGCCTAAGTGTTGGTGAGAACTAGCCTCATCCTGAAGCAAAGCTGGGATAGGTACTGTTTGTTTGTTTAGGTGTCACTGGACGAAAGCTAACCTTTAGTGAAATTCAGGAAACTAGACCTTTCCTTGGCTCCACTTTCCATGCTTTAGTCGGCAACAGGAGACTCTGGTGTTTTCACTGAGCCCAGGACGGATCATTTGTGAAACAGTCCTGTATGATGAGGATCCCAGAGAACAGAAAGGAACTGAATCAGCTCAGAGTCAGGTGTTGATGGAAACTAAAGTCTTCCCTCGTCAGTCAGATGCTTCCTGACGTCGCTGCTGATGCTCAAACAGATCATTTCACAAACACCCCACAATTATCCTGTTCTAGGGGAAACTAAACCGTGGAGCTCCACACATCATACATCTGACATAAACATACAGAATAAAGTTCTCCTGCTATACACACATTAGGACGTAAACGTTATTTAACGGATAGATTTACTCACATTCATGGCCTGACTGGTTTGTTTTAGGATTTATCTTCTAACCATTTGTGTTAATTTCAAATGAGCGTTTATCTATTTATTATGTACTGAATTAAACAGCATTTCATATGAACTGATGGGTCCAAGTGATACCACCTGAAGGAGTTTGTAGTGTTTTAGTCGTTTTGATGAGAGAAACTACACCCCACTCACTCATGTCCGATTTCTTTAATCCAGGAAACAGAAATAAAAGCCGTGTTCAGAGGAGTTAACCACATTTAGACAGAGAGCTTTCACCTGAATCGGAGCGGTTATAGACAAAGGTGGTATTGATTAACATAATAACTGTACAGCAGAAGAAGGTCGTCAGCATGTCAGATAACGAGCTGTAGATGGGCTGTAGTACCTGGTTGTTCCAACAGGTGGCGCCTCTTCCTGGTTAGTGTTTAGTTTACAGAGCAACAGGCTCCATGACAGACTTCTGAGGAGGTCGATGAGCTCCAGCAGGACGTCTGTTGCATCAGCACAGACCAAATATCAGATTATCGATAAGTCCGACATTGATTGATCCTGGTGATTATTGATTAGTGTCTAAAGACAAACGACTGTCAGTTTTACCAGATGGTGGATCAGCTCTAGACGATGGTTTGAGACGGCCCTCGTCATAATCTGTCTGTCTTCCACCCTGTAGGCTGAGCAGGTCGTGTAGAACTACCAGAACCCAGTTGATGATGAACTGTTTGTGCTCTGTGCAGAACGTCAGCGCCGACTCCACCAGTGGAGGAGTTGTGTCTCCGGCCGGCCCCAAAGAGCCCCTCCGGCCCTCCGCCTCCCCGATGCCCACCAGCTTCCAGCCCTCGCCAGCCGCCCCGACCCCGGCCTCGGCCCCAACGCTGAGCCCGGCCGCCGCCACGCCGCTCAGCCCCGCCCCCTCCACCCCTGCACCGTAAGACCGCCGAGTCTCTGAACATGTCGTGGTCATGAAAGGTTTAACAGAAGAGCCGACAGCTGTTCCTCTGACAGTGGATCCGTTTGAGCCGTAGAGCTGCAGCGGTTCTGTTTGCTGTTGGATCTGGCCTGGCTTTAGTTTACCTGTTTTATTCAGCTTTGAATCGTTCTCATGTCTTCCTGCTTTCTGCTGTTAGTCACTCATGTGTTTGTCCTGAGTGATATCGGACCTGATCGGTTCTCATTGAAATCAGCAGTCTGACTCCAGTCAGCGGTTCCGTTAAAGCCCTTCATAAGGTGAAGGTTCTGGTCGCTCTGATTCAGACTTCAGCAGCAGATTTGAACTGTGAGAAAATCCATCTGAGTTCTGTGCTGTTTGTGGTCAGCCGGTGTTCTGAGACAACGGAAACAGAACAATGTGGATGAGAGCAGCGAGCAGGCGGAGAGTCGCCTCGCTGGGTTTTCTCTTCAGCGCCGTTCACAAACCGCCTTTTATTTCTGAATGCATTTGAAGTACTCGGATACTTTGGTCTTTAGAAACGTTGAACGGTGAACTGATCAGTGGTGCTGAAGGAAAACCTCATCATGAATGAAAGTACAAAAAGTTAACGTTGAGGCGTTGTCGTGGCGACGTCCAACCAACTGCTGAATGTGCCGTTGAGTCTTTATAAATAAAACTGGCTGTTTGATCCGTTTCAATCATTAACCGGTTCTGCTGCTGTTCTGTCGGTTCCAGGGAGGCCAAGGTGACGGAGGTGAAGCCGAAGGAGGTGCAGCTCTCTGTGGAGCGGGTTCCCGGCACTCTGTCCACCGCCAGCAAGTCGGTGCAAGTCAACGGAGCTGCGACGGTCAGTACCGAGTCCTGCTTCCTCGTTCCTCTGCTGTGATGCTGAGCTGCCCTCAGTCGCTGAGCTCAGCAGGCTCCATCAATCCGAGCCTGGTTCTACAGGTGTTTCTCACACCTGCTGCAGGAAAACGTTTTTAGGATGGATGCAGGAATGAGTCTGAAAGATTCCCCCCAGCAGCCTGCAGGCAGCATCTTATATATCTGTGCGACCAGAGACGCTCCTCCTGCTGTCCCTCAGGTCAACAAGGTCCACAGAACAATGGGGCGTTCATTTATTTAAGTTCTGGTGAGATCCTCTGCAGCAGGTAGACGAGAGCTGAAACCTAATTAACTGTAATTAAACAGGAATAAACGTACAAACAGCCGTGTTTCAGAGTCTAGATCATTGACACTATTCAGGTCACTGACGTTAGAGACTAAATACTTTAAATAAACGAACATTCCTGCTGACGTACCGATGTTGGTAGAGAATCAGGCCGTCTCAGCATCTCTGAGAGGCTGAACGAGCAGAACCTTCTGAACACCTCGGTGAGGCCTTCAGTCGGGCATGTCCAGTGAGGAGCTGAGCCGGCTCAGACAGGAGACCTTCACCCTGGAGACATCAGTCACACCAGCACAAAACCTGCCGGCAGCTTTAAAGGAACGTTGTTTTTAGAAACCATTTCAGAACCAAAAACAGAGAAAGTGTCAGATTACCACGTCTGCTGTACAATAAAATAAAGTTTAAATAACTTTATTCTGTCTCCCTATGAGGTTCTAATAAAGCACTTGGCCTACAGTTTCTGTAGAACCAGAGCTCTGCGCTGCTCCAGTCAGCAGCACTGATCCAGTTGCTCTTTAGCTCACGACCACATGAATGAATGACGGAGCTGCTGGAGGCTCCTTCATCCTCTGAACCCTGAAGAACAGCAGCAGCTCTGACAGGAGGCCCGAGTTTGGTTTTGTTTCTGAAAATCACACAAAGAAAATATCTACAGAACGCTCCAGTAACGTCTGGGAAACGTTCAACGTGTTGAGTCCAGGTTTTCAGAAACTTTCTAAAATAGTCCAAAGAAATTCAGCTTTTGGTTAAAAACCAAAAATTACAGGTTCATGACGTCGTAACTGTCCAACTGACAGCAGACGTCTCTGAGTTCTGTCTCCTTCATGTTCTGGTTCCACAGAGCTGCAGGACTTTGTTAGAACATGAAAACACCGGTCAGGTCCAGGCCCGGTGAGGCCCGGTGAGGCCCGGTGAGGCCCGGTGAGGCCCGGTGAGGCCCGGTGAGGCCCGGTAATCAGGGCGATGAGGATCTTGTGTGTCTGACAGCTGCTGTGCTTCCTGCAGGAGCTGAGGAAACCTTCCTACGCTGAGATCTGCCAGCGGGTGAAGGACGCTCCAACATCGCAGCCGCCGCCGACCCCCAAGGAAGCCAAGCCAGCCTGCAGCGCCCCCGCAGGCGAGGAGAGGAAGTGCGCCGACACCTCCACCCCCCCGGGGGAGGCCAAGGCCAGAGAGACTCACCACCCCTCCTCCAAAGCCGGCTCCGCCGCCCCGGCCAGGCCCCCCAAGGAGGCCCGGAGGCCGGCCGGGCGGTGGGCTTCCCCGCCGCCACATCCAGGGAAAACCCCCAGCAAGGATCCCCACCACACCCCCCCCAAGTCCCCCCAGTAGGGAGACCCGGTAAAAAAGGAAATCAAGTCAGGGCTACTCAACACTTTACCCCAGAACCACCAGTCACAAGCATAGAGGACGCCTTCTTTCTGGATCAGGGCTTGCAGACAAAAAGCACTTTACTGTGCATGTAGAGCACCGTTTCATTCTTTTACTCTATTTATTTGCTTCTTTTTTTAATTTCACTTTGACTTTCCTTTCCTCTCTTTGCATTGGTTGTGTCAGACAACACTGAAGTCATTCACCGTGTCCACATGGCCTTGTGGGGTTTACCTGAGCAGCAGAGGAGCTGGTGGTGGCTCCGCCCAGGGCTCGTCTGCATGCCGCCGCCGTCGTGCAACTTTATGTAGCTGCGTTATTAGTCCATGTGTTTTTAAGTACATAATCGCATCCATATGCAACCTGGCAGGATCCTGGGCCTCGCCGATCATTTCTTTACACTACTCCGTCGCTGCACTTCTTCCTCCTGCTGGTCGCTAGTTTACTGTTTGAGGTGACGGTCAGGAACCTGCTGGGAAGTCTGGAAGGGAGGGGGAAGAGGTGGAGGTGTTTAATGTCCTGGAGTCGTGCTGTCAGCAGGGAGACTGGAGGGCAGGGTGCAGGTGGTGCTGAGGCTGTGGACGGGAAGGTGTTGTGGTTAGATGTTCCACTGTTCAGACGGTTCCTCGTGGTGCTACACATCCACCCTGGAGGCTCCTCTACACGCTACGTACACATACTTGATTTACATCCACAGAGCTGTGGGTTCATCAGATGGTCCTGTCTGACCAGAGAAAGGGAACCGGTCCTGACAGAGACCCGATCAGAGGAAACCATGCAGCGCCGCCTTTAGCTCCTGCTCGTCTGAAGCGTGTCGGTTCTGGTGTCGGTTCAGGTGTCGGTGCAGAGCTGCAGCGGTTTGGCCTGAAACGTGTGAATATGAGCGATGAAGAAGGAAAGTGAGATGTTGTAAAGACCTGGAGTGTTTCTGTGAAGCCGATGAAGGGAACCGACGAGTGGGTTTTCTGGGAAAGTAGCTGTGATGTTGGATTGTGAGAGAGGTTCAAGTGAAGAGTGGAACCGGACACTTAACCGAACTGACGGGTTTTCAGGGAAACTGAGAGCTGCTCGTGTCTCCTCCAGTCTTGGCCACTAGAGGCGCGTCGCTGTCGCCTGCTATCGTCAGATTTCTTCTCGTTTGTTTGCACTCTTTTGGTTTCTCCTGGTTCTTGTTGGAGAAGATGGCCGGCAGCGCGCAGACCTCCTCCTGCTGCTGGGCTCCCGTTGTCTGGAATCAGACCCAAAGCACAGATTCAGAGGAAAGAAACTGGACTCGAGGTTTGAGATGCCGATTTGAGCGTCTGGGTTTAACGGGAGTGAAGCAGCAGGAGGAGCTGAAGCCTGGGAGGGAGCTGGTTGGGCGTTCTGTCTACCGTAGCAGCCACTCGGGCAGAACCAGCCGAGCGTCAGTACATCTGAACCAGACGCGAGTTTCCTCCTGCAGCCCAGTGCTTCAGTTGATCTTTAGAGTTGACACCAGATGCAAACGCCCTTAAAACCACTGAACTCTCCAGATGATCAGCTTGAGGGAACCTCCGTGGACCTCAGCGTCTCGCTCTAGTCTTCCTGCAGTAAAGCATTCTGGGTAATCCCACTGAGAGGAAACAGGAAGGGAACGCTCGGCTCAGAGCCGCTCTGTGATTTGGACGCTAAAGCTTGAGTTTAGTTGAATAAAACTAAATCTGTTTTTGATTTTGAAGGACTGAGATGCACTTGGATGGTCGATGATTATTCTGTTTAGTTTTTGGAGACGCACCATATCCACGTATTTATGAACCATCGCTGTTTTACTCCATGAGAAATATCGTTAAGTTTTCTTTTTTTGGGAGAAGAAAAAAATCGAGATGATGCATCGAGGTCAAAATGTACAAAAAATAATTTCCATCCAGTGTTTGAGAAACTTGAATTTTATTTAAACTTGAAAAATGACTTTGCCTTAACTTTTATACGAGACGAGCTTAGAGTTTATTTCTTTTCAAAAAAAAAATCCCCAAAACGTTCCCGAAGCGTGACGAAGCGTGGAAGATGTCCAGCGGAGGTCACGAGTCTCCCTGAGATCAGATCTGCAGCGTTTTCTTTCTTTTCCCTCCTTTTGTTTTGGGTTTTTGTAAAATGTACGAAACAGAATCGTTTGATTGTTCTTTTGGTTTCTTGTTTAATAGTTTCAGGTTTTTTTTCTTTTTGGGGAAAAATATAAACCATGTAAATGCAAAACTAGTCGATACTGTATTAAATCTGTGCACTTTGAGGTGTGTGCTTTGCTTGTACAGTTGTAAATACTCAGAAAATATAAGAGGTACCTTAAAATGATTATAAAAATATATTGATCCTTGTTAACTATACTGTCGCTATCGAGCTGGATGTAGGATATAAAACTTGTTGTTGTGCTTTTTGGAAATACTTTTCTTTAACTTTTTTTTATTTTACTTTGGGTGTGCGGACTTTGCCTCTGGAGCAGTCGTCTGATTGTACGTTTCTGTTTGTCGTCCTTCATTCCATTTTTAACGGTCGCCCGGCTGCTCAGGTGCGACCGTGGCCCCGCCCTCTTCTCCTCGCCGTGCCCATATTTGGGCGCCGACAGCCGCGTGTCCACCAGCGTCCTCTTTGCTGCTCCTCCTGCTGTTCGTGCATGTTTTCACGAGCATGTTTTTGCTTCTTTTGAGCAGAAAAAAGTCCCGGAGCTCCTGTCAGGTCGAAGCACTACATTGACTGACTGCAGCAGGAGCTCAGGTGTGTTTGCCTTTCTGACACGGACACAAGGAGGCGTCACGGAGTCCAATACACTAACGCTCGTCATGTTTAATCAAACCGCATCGTGTGACCGACAGGAGCCGATCAATATTCATGATCACACTGATCGATGTTTGGAGCCGTTTGCAGTAAACGTTTAAATCTCTGGACACAAACTCAGTGGAAACCTCTTTTTTTGTTTTAATTGGACTTTCCAGCGTTGGTCCCTCGACTCTGATTGGCTGTGTGTCGCTACGATCAGCCAATCAGAGCTGCAAGATTTAATTAGATTTATTGGGAATCAGTTTCCAATAAAACGAAACCACAAAACGTCCGACATCAGCTCCGATAGTCTGTCGGTCGGTTTGTAGCGGCAGGAAGGCGTCCACCAGCTTCTGCTTCATGGCGTTTATTTGATGGTCTGAAACCTGCTGTTTTCTGTCCGTATTTAAAGATGTGATGCGTCGAGTCACCGGAGGAGCAGACCGGTTAGCGTAGCTTAGCATAAAGACTGGAAGTGGGTGCAAACTGCTAGCCTGGTTCACTCATAGTGACACAAGCTAATTGTAAAAACGAGCCTTTGTGGTTGAACTGAAGCTGCGGAGCTTCACTGGACACCTGGGCGTGTTTTTTCTGCTGTGAGGACGTGATGACGGAGACGGTGGTGCAGCTGAAGGTGTCTCTGAGTCCAGACTTTATGTGACGCTAAAGTGAGGATTCAGGATTTAGCAGCAGGACGTTTTTTAAACAGGAACTGAAACGTTTTTAGGAAGAAGATGAAGCAATTCAGAGCAACACGAAGCTTCGTTGAAGCATCGAGTCAAACGAGACAAAAGAACTTGAATCAAACTGGATCTAGAATTTGGTGCTTGAACAGTTTCCTGCTCAGCTGGAGCTTCAGTGAGTTCTGATCCGATGTTACTGTCCTGAACAGTAGAGCTCATCACAGACTCAGTCAGTCGAGTCGCTTCGACTGCTGTGAATATTTCGCTTTTCTCTGGTTCTGTTTGGGTCGAGTGCGTCCTGAAGGTTCTGGTCGGTTGGGTTTCCGGCTCTGCAGCAGGAGCCGGTGGTTCTGTGAGAATACGGACAGAAAACGAGGTTTTTCAGAGGAACCCTGAAAAGCAGAAACCCGGCGGGACTTGAACTCTGCTGGAAAAGAGCGGCGCTGATGGACACGACCCGGTTCGGTCCTCCACTTATAACGCAGCAAAATAAAGCACATGGGAATCAGTGGTGGCACCGAGACGACAGCGGCGGTTCTGAGATCCAGTGGATCAGCCAAAACCACTCTGTTCTGCTCCCCAGTTATCGTACATGTACAAATACTGTCTCATGGTTACTGTCGCTTTGTTTGGGGACGGATGCAACTGGAATCGCAGGTTTCAGTTCTGCGGCACATACAGCAGGTAGAAGTCTGTCAGAACCGTCTGAAACCCGGCACGGCGCCACGATCAGCTGTTGGACCTGTACATACCGACGGACTGGTTTTTCACGCCGAGGTCGAACTCTGATCACAAACTGAGCATCCCTGAACTGTGAATGTGTGCATGTGTGGAATAAATAAATGTACCACCAGAACCAGGCGGATGTTTGTGGAGTTTGGACCTCAGACGGGTTCTAGAGCAGCTCCTCCTCCTTCTCACGGACTCAGCAGGAGCTTCTTCATATCAGCCTTAGCCTCCTGCTTCAGTGCCATCGTTCTTCTGTTCTCCCTCCGGTTGCATCTCGTCTGCTCGTGTTTGTTCTGTTGTTCTGAGATCCGACTGGACCTGTGTCGACTCACTGTGGTTTAACTCATTAACATGCTAACAGCTGTGGACAATCGGTCGTGTCGAGTTCGGACGGATTTCTTTGCCTAACGACACCTTTAACAGATGTGGGACGGAGGTTCGATCAAGAGGGCTTCTCTTCTGTTGTTTGACTGTTTTTTGTTATTTTGGGTCTTTTTCTTCCATCGAGACTGGAATCAAGCGTACATGTCGGCTATAGATAATTTAAGTTACTCTTGTGTCATGATGTAAAACTGTCTAATTTGGAGAAAAAAATGTAGCTTACTGAAAAATAAAGATTTAGGCACTGTTGAGGAGCCGCTGTCCGCCGTCTGCTTGTGTTTTTATTGTCGAGGACAACAAGCTGCTAAACGAGTTCACAGTACGAAGCATCGTCACCGAAGCTTTTCTGTCTAAAGACGAACATTCACTGCTCAGAAGAGTTCAGAACAGACTGAAGTTCAAATAACACCCGTAGAGATGTTCATCCACAGCCTGTTTCTGTCTGAAGTCCAGCAGGTTGGAGCTAAATGCTAACATCCACATCACAGTGACCATGCTAGCACGGTTAGCAGTAAGTTAGCATGCTAACATTAGCCAGTTAGCAGTAGAGCTGAGGGGGGTTGGTCAAAGACAACAATTCATCAGGTCACAGTCAGACTAGAATAAAGAAAGAACTTCTCCTCAGAGTGGATCCTGTCTACAGATGGTTCTGGAAAATTCTGGAGGTAAAATGGACCTTCCATTGTCTAGAACTGGTTCTGACCAACCACCATCACACATGCTGACATGAGCCTGGAAAGTTTACCCAGAATGCACTTTGTAAAGTTTCCTCTGGTGACTGATCAGAACCAGAACCACATCCAGGGTACCAGTGATTGTTTCTATGACTC